GACAGGATTTCTCTGTGTAGCCATGGCTATCCCGGACTTGCTTTGTGGACCAGGCTGGCCTCAAATCCTCAGAGATCTGCCTGCCTCCTGAAAGTGCTGGAATTACAGGTGCGCGCCACTGAGTCCTGCTGAAAATTCTAGTCTTATAGAGAAGGTGTCTTGAGTGTAAATTGAAAAATAAACCAGAGGATTAGGTTTATTAAAAGAAAGTTTTAAATGGCATCCTTTCTGAAGACTCTTGAAACTCCCCAGGTAACTTACCTTCTTTTGAGTAGGTTATTTTGACATCAACATTCTGCTTTAAAGCCATGCGGTTTTTATTTTGGTCATTTTCTCATTCATTCACCAGAGGTTTGCGCAGTCCCTTCTAACACGCTCCTAACTGTGATTTTGTTAAGCTTAGCGCCTATCTGTGTTTAAAGCACAGTCTCTGCTTGGAGAATTCGTAATATAATGTAGCCCAGGTAAGAGGTGCTGATCCGCACTGGAATGGACTGACTCATGGATGATGGCTTGCTCCTTCTGTGAGTAGCCAATGTACCTCCTAAACCACATAAGCAGTCCTGTAATGCACTGTGCGGGAAGAATTCTTGCTGTGTATTAGTGGCTACAATCCATTTAATCATGACTAAAGAGCAATGACCTATTGCCACTTATCATTGCATTAGTCGTAGAGTGAACAAAATTTTAGTAGCTTGCTAGAAGTTCAGTAAAAGACAATCCTTACCAATTAAGCCTGGACTCATCCTACAGAGAAACCTGTTATGAAATGTGCTGGCTTTGTTATACATGGAAACTTTCTCCTGTATAATCTTAAATTGCTGAGTAAGTTCAAAAAAAAATTAAAAGTGGCCTAACTCCATAAGATTCTATTATAAAATTGAATTTATTTCTAAGGCATTGTTACGATATAAACTAATTATAAAAATCCTTTATTTGAAAGTAGAGGCTTCATTATTTAATAATTAAATATGTATTTAGTGACAGACTAAAAGATGGTAATTTTAAGCAAGCACTCACTAACGGTGAGTTGTATGCCTCATTCTGAGAACACGGAAACAAAATTAAATGAACTGCATACATACACCAACTTTGCAGACCTTTCAAAACCAATTTATCTTTGGGATTTTACTTTGGATTTTTGTTTTGAGGAGTCTTTCATCCTCATTTCTTTGATTACTACAGTACTAACAAGGCACTTGTAGTTTAACATAAACAAAAATAGACTGTCCACAGTAAAGCTAGAAACTGGGTCCATACATGTCCCAGTGTCATCATAGTGATAGTGAGATGTGGCCGTGTTAGACACTGTTTGAAATGGTACACTCCATTCAATTGTTCTCCCACACAAGTCTATGTGTAAGTACTATGTAGCTCCCTGTTTGGGCACGGTTACTCGTCATCTACAGGGTCACTTGGGAATTCCAAGAACAGAGCTCAGGCAAGCAGTGTAGAACATTATTCTATATTCTACCATGGCTCATCTTCTCACGGACAATTATCTGTGGATATGGTGTATTGTTGGGCATGTGGAAGAAGGAGAATATCACAGCCATTGAGTTTTATGAGCCAAAGGGTGTGGCTGCATTTCTCTTGGCCTCCCTTGCTCTTCCCGCTCCCTACACCTTCCTCTGATTCACACTATTTTCCGACACCTGTCAGTCTCCTGGCCAATGGCCTCTCTTCCTTTGCCTGTCTTTTTTCTACTTCTTGAGTGGTGGGAATATTATGAGATGATGAAAGGAAAGCCTCACACCCCAGAGTTTCTGGAACTGTACAAGAACCAAGGGGTTTCATAGCAGTAGCTCTAGAATCCAACCCTCACCATATGCTGTGGATAAAATATGGGAAAAATTTGATGTGGACTTCTGGGAATCTCCTGCTCTGTGTCTAATTGTAGGTAAGATGATCAATCAGATATATTAACCACATTATGTTGATTGCATGTTTCCTATTTTGAGGAATCCAGCTAGAGAAGGAAGCTGCTTCGTTCATTTTTATTTTCCCAAGGGCATATCTTCAATTAATTGCTATTTAAAAATATTGAAGAGTAGTTGAGAGCGAGCTACTTCTC